CACGGCGGTCGGGGTGGAAACCGAGGGGGAGAGTTAATAAGGCAGGGGGGTGGTGGGGGTGTATACTATAGGCAGGGGGTTACCGTATTAAATTATCACGCAAAGAAAAAGCATCATATCGAAGTTTTAGGCAAAATTCCGCCTTCTAATTAGAGCTCCGTGGTATAGTCCTCCCCTTCCCATCTCCAGACTCCATCTCTCTGCGTGTGTCTCCCTCTTGCTCCTCTTCCTTTCTCCCCCTCCCCGATCATCGATATGCATTCCTGTACATCTGTGGGTGCCCGCGCGCCTTGCCGCCCGGAACATTCACTATGCATAGAATGGATCGGATCACTAGTTGCAATTTATTCCTGAGCACGAGCGTTATTCTTGGCGAAAATCCGGGCTAATTGAGTAGTTGGCGCTATGGTCACGTATACTGTGATTTACCTCCCGTGGCTATGTCTAAACTAGCACAAGCAAACACGGTGAATACCGGGGTGCAGTACCGTACGTGCGGTATACGATTATTGGATTTAAAAATAGTGGCTATGCAATGAGCTCTCGCCTAATTAACGGTGCGCGTGCGTGCGTGCGTTTTAGTGCTATTTGTGTTAGTAGAGAGGAACTATTACGTAGCATCAACAATAATATATCGCTATACTTGATATATGTGATATATGCGGCGATATATGTACTATTATCTAGTAGGACCTGTGACGAGGAGCAGTATGCGGTGGGTATATATGGGGTTGTTCATAGTATAGGTGCCTGCGAACGGAGGAGCAACAAGGATGGATAGAGAAGGGAAAGTGTAAATGTGTTCTATAGAGAAGGGAGTGGCTGAGAAAGTACTATATAATCCGCATAGCTCCTGTACTTTCTCACAGGAGAGCACTTCTCATACTTCTGTATAGGAAAGAGGACGCTGAATGCTGTTGCAAGCTAGAATCAAGGCACGGGGGTAGCGCGAGTTCTACATGCTACGCGATGATTTCTTCTTATTCGCCTTTCACATTTCTTCGAATGCAAACTCACTACTGGCGGCGCATCGAGGTTTACGACCCGCACCGACAATTTTCGCGCTCGTCACCATCCATTATCTCCGCCATTGCTCGCGTTTCTCCCCCGAATTTCACGCGCCTGTCAATTACCCCCGTGTTTATGGTCGGCAGCCAGGTGCGCCGCCCTGGTGGCGATGACAGATCGCTGGCGGACGTCCGCTGCGACAGACGTCGGCATTTAGCTGACTCGCAGCAGCGGTAGCATCCCGCGAGAAGCATCCCCCCTTGGGATGGCACTTCACTAGATTTTAAAACATCGCCAAAAAGCTTCGCGCAAAACACTTCGCAGACGTTTTCCACTCGCGGCGGAGTACCCCTGGGATGACCGAGCTTCGCGCGTTGGTTCGCGTTAGAGCGACGCGTGTGCTGTTCGGATCAGGGTAGTCTGGCCGTCTTGCTTGTCATTAGCTCACATTAAACCCCACGTGCGCGGCAAGCGGTGCAAGTGGCGCGATGTGCGGAAAGATGGTTGTAGGGGCTTGAGGATATCTGGGGAATGTTAATCATTGAAAGCTGCCTCCTCTTCGACTCTCTCTCTTCCCCCTCTCACTCGCCATCGCTTCCCAATTCGTTTTCTTTGGTGTATTATGTGCCGCGGCCTGCATGTGTTTTGCAAACATCATCGGCTGTTGAAAAACACAACGGCTTCAACGAAGTGCTGGCGGGAGCGATATGGTAGATAGCTGTAAGGATAGAGAAAGGTGCTGTGAAAAGATCGAGACGAAATTTTCCGTAAGATGAATGCTTTTACCTCACGAATGCTGCATTGCTGATAAGAAACCGTGAGGATGCGAAGCGCAGTTTTCAGAGTGGCTTTGCTCACACCGCACAACAGCGCGTATAGCTCCGTATATTGCAAGCCATCGCCGGATGTCTAAATATGCAAACAGTGTCGAACTCTAGCGCTGTGTGTGTTATGTACGCATTCACGAGCTGTTTGGTGAACGAATATACGCAAACCTCCCGACACAAAAGATCGACGGCGGGCCTCAAACTAAGCGACCCAACAAAAGGTGCGCGTGAATTCCCGGTAATTTGTAACCGTGGTGAATGAATGAATGCTGCTCTATGCGGGCCTACGTCGACGTCTATTTTAGCGCACCTGCATTTTCCAATTATCGGGGGGGCCTCAACTCTAGTGTGATACGCAGCGCGGTCTTGAAAAGTTTCGGTGTGTGTATGGTAAATAGGAGAGCGCTTTGCCGTGGTGACAGCGAGTACACAGCCGTGTCAATTTACATAACAAGCTAATAATCATGCTTATTTGCTGCCTCTTCCTGTGCATTACCGTGTTGTTGGTGTAGGTTGGCCACAGGAAACGTACGTGTATCGTAGACAATGCTGATATGGCTGATTGCATAGCGTGTGTGTATACCCTGTACGTGTAGCTCCACAGGCACTTGGAGCGTTTCAATACAATATAATGCTAAATAAATACGAAATTTATTTTCTACCAAAGTCTTAATGTTTCGCTACTCTCTTTCGCCTATTATTACCGACAATTTCCTGTAAATGCCGTGCAAATGCTCCTCTGCAACAACCATGTATACACCGCGCGCACGTTCTATATATATATGTGTGTCAGTGTGCGGCAGCGTGCGCGCGGTGTACATGTGTGTTGCAGAGGAGCATTTGCACGGCATTTACAGGAAATTTCGTATTTATTTAGCATTATATTTTATTGAAACGCTCCAAGTGCCTGTACGTGTAGCCCTTCCATGACGATCCTGTGCTGACGAGTTTTAATGTCGGCTAGGCGCGGTCAGACATTTAAACTCGTGGCACGCGTATTTGTGTTTATGGTGACAGGTCGAGGTTCTATGAATCTATTGGATGAGTTTTTTCTCGCACTATAAGCTTGTCGGCAGTCGAGACGCGTGTCGAGAGTTAGCGGCAAGTTGCGAGTTGGTTAGATAATCGTTAAATTAGCTTCTGTACACTGATTTCACCGTGAGAAATTGCGAAAGCTTCTTGCTCTGGTCTTGTCCTCATGTAACAACAACACGGCTACATGTATGTTGGTAGTCGTAGTAACAGTGGGTTATAATACATGTGTGTCGCGTACTTCGTGCACGTTGTATATATGTGTACAACGTGTTGCGTACTTGTCCCGAGCCTCATATATGAAATGCAATGCACGACTTTGGTACGTTTACGTCCGTAGTCCACATATTTGCTTTAGTAGTACTTGTCCTACAGGAGTGGGACAATATACGATACGATACGATATTTACGAATCATTTCACTCATGCGCAGTTGCTCGTCTGCTTATTGCATGCTGCCTGCTGGGCGATGACGCAGGTGTATGACGCAGAAGTGCTGTGTCACGTGCATCATGTGCGTTTCGGTTTCGGTTGAACCCGCACCGGCCCTTCGCGCCGCCGAGTTCTCGAATCCGGCTAGACGGGCTCACACGCTCTCCCGTAACGCGTTGTCTCTGCGCCCACCCCGAGCAAAGACGCTCGCGACAGTCTCGCCCGCGAAGCAGACGAAGATAATGATCACTTTCTCTGCTGGCATATCCTGACATTTTCATGGATCCGGTAAGGAGGGGTGGTGGCGGGGGGCATATGTCGGTGGGCGGAGGAGAGGCCGGCGGGCGCGTGGCTGTGTACAGGCCGGCGTGTCGACACGGTCTGCCGATAAACTACTCACACACAGTGCGCGAGTAATCTCGTGTGAGTGTAATCTCGCACTACACTCACCGCCGTGACGGTGCCTTCCTGGCCCCACTAATTGCCACTCCAATAGACAGACAGGTGGAGGTTTTTTTTAAATTTCCTGGTAGCCCAAGTTGCGTTTGCGATTAGACTCGCTTCGCGTGTAAGTTTGTTGTTGCTGTTGCTGCTCCTGCTGCTGCCGCCTTCTTCCGCCTGTCCCCGGGGTCTCAGGTGGGCCGCGGTGGCTGCACGAACCTATTGTCTGTGTTCGTGCTTTGTGTGATTGCATAAAATTCTTTATACGAAACCAGTTTTCTAGCCGATGATAACTTTATTTGCAGCGGTTCCTAGAAACCTTACACACTGTTTGGTTTAAATCTGTAGTCTTTTCGCTATTCATTCTCGGAGATATCCGGTAGACGGCTACTATATTGTCCGGTATAATGTAATACCGTTTGTATGTTGTCTCCGGGGTTGCCGATGATTCCATACTAAGTTATACAGTGACTTACGAGCACGTGGTGTGTAAGTGCGTCAAAAACTATCGTGTATATTTGCGTCAGACGTGACGGGGTACCGCTCCTTGATACAGACTTTATGAGTAATCCATGTTCTTTCTCACAATGTCTTGCCAAGGACGTTGAAACTCTCTTGTTGAAATTACGCGGGCAAAAAAACACGACTGACTAGGTGCACTCACTGTTCATAACTCGGGCTTATATGGTCAGGCTGAAAAAGATTGCGGTGCAGACCCATAAAGAAAGACATAGTTGCCATGTTTACCTACTAGCCGTATGCGAATATAATGCATGATTACACTGATCCAAGGGACTCGTTGTGACTATGTGCACTGCTCGTGCAAGGTTAGGAGCATGGACGCGGAATAAGTCTACTTGGGTGATAAGAAATACAACACGCAAAATTTGTCATCATTATAACGGCTATACGCGTGTTTCGACGTCGTATGTGGCTATTTTGGTCGGCGGATTTGATAAGATGATGCGGCTGAAGACCTGCCAGGTTGTTACTGATAATGTTAATAATCCTACACGCAATCCTGTTTTCCCTCCACGCGTCACCTCTGCCGGATGTATATGCACGAGAATAAGCATAGAAGCCAGCAGATGCAGTTTCCTAATCTGGCTTCGCTGTCTCCTAATGATGAATAGGAGATATGAGTCTTGCGAAATGCAGTGGAAACCTAACGAATTTGCTGGCCTGTATATGTATGGTGTTAACTCCAAGTAAGTGTAAACCCGAAAGTGTAAACAAAACTTGTCTTTTTTTGATTTTGCAGAAGATGTTAAAGAGTTCGTTGGAAATGGCACCGACCCTGATTACTTCAAAATACTGGAGCAAGATGGTGATAAGCTGCTAGTGGGCGCAAGGTGAGCTGTACTTCATGTTGTCAGATCATAGCATTACATCACATTCTCTCGCAGTCAAACGCTGTCGTTACTTACACGCGCATAAGTGTGCAAAAACAGGTTTTAATAATTCACACATTAATTCTATCCTCGCGCGTTCGTTCGCATTGAAACGAAATGTTGGAAATTATCGTTAATAAATTTTGCGATGTGTGAAAAACCCGAGTGAAGTATTTGTTGACGGCTCGAGATTACATATCGATCTCAGACCCGCATCTATAACAATACGCACCCACGGATTCATTGATATGGACGAGCGAAGAGATTTGCATGAATTAAAACTACGTTCATTGTGTATCTCACAGCCTCACATCGCTCGCCTGACGTGTGTCTGTACCAATCCACGGCCAACCGCATGCGTTGAAAAAAATGCATGCGCTGAATTAGCGAACACGTCCCCAGGGGCTTGTCTACGGGCGACTGGAATTAGTGCTGCTTGTCCGCCATGCGATATACGGCGTCCGTGTTTAAAGATTATTGGATTTATGCTAATGAAGCGATTGCCCGTGAAGCCACACCGGCGCGATGCGGTGCATGCGCCTGCCGACGCGCAGAGGCGCGTGGTGCTGCTGCTGCTGCTGCTGCTCGTTAGAAATCAACTAATGAAGTTGTGTTGTTGCCGTGTGAATGTTTAATGTTCGGTAGAAAGTTCTCCTGCGTCGTGCGCTCGTGCGTCGCCTCCTCTTTCTCCTCTCCCTCCTCCTCCCCCACATCCTCGTTTTCCTCCTCCTCTTCTGCCTCTTCCTCCTCTGCCGCCTCCTCTTCCTCCTACTCCTCCTCCGCCATCGCGTCCTCCTCCCCCTCCCCCCTCTTGCTCTTCCTCCTCCTCCCCCTCCC